GGAGGGAAGAGGGAGGGAGGAAGGGAGGAAGTCAGAGGGAGGAAGGGAGGGAGGAAGGAAGGAAGGGAGAGATGGAGGGAGGGAGGGAGATCTGAACTCAGTGCTGAACTGGGATGAAAATGATCAAGAAAGGAAATCTCTAACCATGCCCCTTCCTCCTGGCCACAACCTGCCCTTCTCCTGACCCTCCTGATCCTCTGGAGACAATCTCTCCCACCAGAAGGATGAGCAATTTCCTCTGTACTTCAGATCCTGGGCAACCATAGCCTGTTGTTCCCAACCCAAGTGTTGGAAACTGGACTACTTTTTAGGTAAGCAGCACCTTTAAATTCTAAAGTTCCTTTCTGAAAGCCAGTACTCCTGCTGCCTCTTGAAGATTCCCCAGTTCTTTTTTTTAACTCCTCAAATAATGTAATAATATATGGAACATGAGACTATTTGAAATGAGAGGGCAGTGCAGAGGACTGAATATGGAAATCAATGACTTTTTTCAATATGTCAAATTACTGAGACGTTGTAGAACGTTGATACCATGCAAAGAATGTTCTTCACTGTGATTCAGAACGTGGTTAGAAGTTTCAGAATCCTTTGCTTTTGCTGTATGTCAACACAGAGTGGACACCGTGGAAAGGTACAATCAACCCTTAGAAGTTTATAAACAGCAACTCTGGACTTCTGCTCACTTGGAATCTGAAATCTGTGGTCTGGAACAAATAATTTTACCCTGGGAAGCTTACTCATCTTACACAGCACAGAACAGGGTTTGTTTCATGCAAACACTGTCCAGAACCCTAGGGAAACAAAGTTCTGAAGTCGAACTGGAGGCAGTTCGACAAGTGAAAGTCTTCTTGTCTCTGCTTGGAAGTCTAACAGCACAATCCAAAATGGCCACAGTTTTTGTAAGCTGTTTATCTTACCTTTGATTAACACCAAAATCATACAGGTCCTACCTTAATGACACATACAAATTTCACAAAATACTTTTCCTTTTCTCCTTATTACGTCTTTGGGTGACTTCTTTTCCTTGGGTGTCTTTTAAGTCTCCAACATTAAAAGGAGCAAATTTCTAGCAAAATGAAATTCACGTGTATCTGAACTCCAACAACACATCTATTAGAAGACCTTACAATTGAGATCACCGAATAGTGATCTAATAATGCTTAACTGTGCCTTAGCTTAGCTTAAATTGTCAAAGTTGAGGCCAATCTTACAAAAATATATCTATAACGACTATAATGAATGTCATGGTCATTTTTCTTTCTTGATTTTTTTCCCCTTGATTTCTTTCCTGATTTCTGAGTTAAATCTTCTAACACTAATATATCAAACAAAGTATTTTGCAACAGGCATGACTCAGCACCTTTGTTCCATGTGGCACAATGGCCAAAATAACCAGCTCCATGAGGAAGCCTTCAGAGTGGCTTATCTTAGAAGGTCTGCCTAATGAGCTCATCAGGTCGGCCAGCACTCTCTACATGAAATGTCCGTTTGTCAACTATTGACATCCCAACGCTCACTATTTAAATGCTTTCTTTCTTCTTTTCCTTTTCTTTTTGAGACAGAATCTTGCTCTGTTGCCGAGGCTGGAATGCGGTGGCATGATCTTGGCTCACTGCAACCTCCCAGGTTCAAGCAATTCTCCTGCCTCAACTTCCTGAGTAGCTGGGATTACAGGCATGTGCCACCAGGCCTGGCTAATTTTTGTATTTTTAGTTAGAGATGGGGTTTCACCATGTTGGCCAGGCTGGTCTTGAACTCCTGACCTCAAGTGATCTGCCCACCTCTGCCTCCAAAAATGCAGTGATTACAGGCGTGAACTACCACATATGGCCCTACTGAAATGCTTTCTGAAAGTAGATGCAAATAAACAAAATTTCCAAACCCACAGGGACAAAGCAGGAAGAATAACTCAGCTATGATCTGTCCATTCACCTCCCATGGTAGCACCCCCTGGGGAAGAATGAGTGCGTTAGGCCAGGTGAGAGGAACATCCGCCCTACACTAACTTCCCATGATTGCGCTCCCATGTAAGAGGCAGGTCTGTTCTCTTTTTCTTCCACACGTATTCTCTGTGGCATACTAACCATTAACTATACTCTTTACCCATTAATTTTCCAAATGTAATACTTTGGAAAAAATATCCAAGTTTTATAACACAAAGAAGCCTATAAGAATCCAGACAAATATCACTTTTATTTTTTTCCTGTGTGTAGACCAGAATATTCTGTAATGCAGTCCACTGTAATTTACAGTGCTATCTAGAGCTGGCATAAACTTAAAGGAAAAGAGCCCCATTTTTGCATTTAAAAATGCAATGGAGAAAATCCCATCTTAAGATACTACTGACTTGCTCCTAATTAAGAAAGGAAATTCCCTACTGTGATGGTTAATACTGGGTGTCAACTTGATTGAATAGAAGGATGCAAAGTACTGATCCTGGGTGTTTCTGTGAGGGTGTTGACTGAATTGAAGGATGCAAAATACCGATCCTGGGTGTTTCTGTGAGGGTGTTGATTGAATTGAAGGATGTGAAGTACTGATCCTAGGTATTTCTGTGAGGGTGTTGATTGAATTGAAGGATGTGAAGTACTGATCCTGGGTGTTTCTGTGAGGGTATTGATTGAATTGAAGCATGTGAAGTACTGATCCTGGGTATTTCTGTGAGGGTGTTGATTGAATTGAAGGATGTGAAGATCCTGGGTGTTTCTGTGAGGGTGTTGATTGAATTGAAGGATGTAAGTACTGATCCTGGGTGTTTCTGTTGCCAAAGGAGACTGACATTTGAGTCCGTGGGCTGGGAAAGGCAGACCCACCCTTAATCTGCATGTGCACCATCTAATCAGCTGCCAGTATGGCCAGGATGTAAAGCAGGCAGAAAAATGTGAAGAGAGACTGGCCTAGCCTCCCAGCCTATATCTTTCTCCCGTGCTGGATGCTTCCTGCCCTCAAACATCAGACTCCAAGTTCTTCAGTTTTGGGACTCGGACTGGCTCTCCTTGTTTCTCAGCCTGCAGACGACCAACTGTGGGGCCTTGTGGGCATGTGAGCTAATACTTAATAAACTCCCATATATATTGCATTATATTCCATTAGTTCTGTCTCTCTAGAGCACCCTGACTAATACACCTACCATATGCCAAGAGATCCCCACTGCTTTGCTTGGCTCTAGTTGCTCATAAGTGACCAGAGAGAGGGGAAAGGCTCATAATTTCTAGATATGGAAGGGATGGGCAGAGACTGATGGTGATGCTGGAAGCAAGAGGAGATGTCCACACTGCAGGTCAGGGACGCTGTGTTTATCTGACGAAGCAACATTTAGAAACGGGAAGGGTATTTCACAGGCTTCTGGTGGTGTCCGCTATGAGTTACCTTGGAAAACTATGTCTAGAGGGTAGAATATTTATTACCTGAGAACCCAGCTGAAAGCTAGGGAGGAAGATTTCATTTTCTTCTCACCCTGCAGTCAGCCAGGAAAAAAGTGGGGCAAGTCATTTTCCTTCTCAGTGATTCCTGGTCCTTTTGTGTAAAACAGGGGACAACAACAACAAAAGTACCTACAAGGCTCACTTCATGGAACACAACAGCAACTCTGCATAAGAAAAAAGGAAATCCACAAAGCCTGCAGAATGGTAATAACTACCATACATATATATACGTATATGTATGTATATACATTGTGCGCTGTTTTAGAATGTAAAAACTCTTGAATGAAGATGATCGAACTGGAACCTCAAGATCCAGCTGTGAGTAGAGAGAAGATAAGGAAGGGCTGAAGGAGGTGCAGCCCCGAGCAAAGGCACACAGCTAGTGGGCCAGGGGCAGAGATCAAGCTTTAGGTCTCAGAAGTCACCTCTTGAGCTGTTTCCACAACACCACATGCTACTCACATTTATTTATCTGGAGACACCTCTCACTCTGTCACCCAGGCTATAGTGCAGTGGCATGATCTTGGCTCACTGCAACCTCCACCTCCTAGGCTCAAGCTATCCTCCCACCTCAACCTCCCAAGTAGCTAGGACTGCAGGTGCATGCCAACGCGCCTAACTAACTTTTTGTATTTTTAGTAGAGACAGGATTTCGCCATTTTGCCCAGGCAAGTCTTGAACTCCTGGGCTCAAGTGATCTGCCTGCCTCGGCCTCCCACAGTGCTGGGACTACAGGCATGAGACATCATGCCTAGTCTACTCATAATCATTTATCTGTAGGTACAATCATCAAAATCATCTCTGTTTTGTGATATTTCTAATTCTACTCCTTTTCTTTTTCTTTTCTTTTTTTTTTTTTAAAGCCAGGGTCTCTCGCTGTTGTCCAGCATGAAGTGCAATGGCGTGACTGTAACTCACTGCAGCCTTGAACTCCTGAGCTCAAGGGATCCTCCCACCTCAGCCTTTCAAAGTGCTGGGACTACAGGCGTGAGCCACCGTGCCTGGCTGATTCTACCCTTTTCACTGTGAGTTTCTTGCATCAAGAGGGCTTTGTGTTTCCCAGAGGCCCAGCACACCGGGTGCCGGGGGTTGGCTCCACAGACAGGGGTGCCTGCCATCTGCGCCACCAGACAGACACCCACGCAGTACAACTGACCCTCTTCTTGGCCAGCCATCTGCCAACGTGGGGCCCAGCTGGACAACTTCTGCTTTGGTCTAAACTAGGAGAATGTGAGGAACTATTTCCCACCCTTGGCACAAGAACGAAGAGCGACCGCTGCAAACTGCTTTGATTCAAAGTCAACGAGAGACTTACCCACAGCCGCTCCCGCTGAGATCTGCTGCCAGATGGTGTTGTGCTATTCAGGTAATTAGACAGACACCCAGAAAAATTACAATGTGAATATCTTCTGAACTAAAAGTAACCAAATATTAAAGTGTAATTTCAAAAAACCCTAACAACTCACATTGAGACTTTCTTCTAAAACAACAATCTAAATACAAATTCACTGAGAAAAGGGAAAAACACGGCAGGTATCCACACACACAGAAAAGCACAGTGTACCCCCCTTCATTATTTGGGTGCCCAAGTCTGTTTTAAGGAAGCTGTCAAGAGCTTCCAGTTACTACTGCTATTCAACACACAGTCACAACAAAGTCCCTACACATCTGATCCAGCGGGGCGCTACGCTGCGTAAACCCACTCATATGCACAAGAAACCACAGAGGGGAAAAAATAAAACAGAGCTCTCACTTTCGAAGGCTGCTGAATTTTAATCTCCTGGGAATCAGACGCCGAGTCTGACTTGGTGCCTCCAGAATTTGGTTTCTCCTTTTTTCTCTTCTGCTTCTTCTTTTTCTTTTTGGCTCCCAAATACCCTCCAGGACTTCTGCGGGAAATGCAAAGATGGTGAAACCAACGAACAAATGAAAATCATTAAATGAAATTGATTGGCATACAAGTAATCATTTCGCAAAAAACAGATGTTATATGCAGTGGAAAATAACTGTGTTAGGATGTAAATGAGAAATAAAAGGTATTCGAGTTAAGGCATTAACAGGCAACGCAGAAGAATATCGGTCCCTGCTCAGTCATCCTGCAGGTGCTTAGATGTCGCCGAAGCAGGAAGACTGCAGAGAAAAACCACATTTTATAACTGAAGTAAAATTGTTTCCACAGTTATCACTACTCTCCTAATCTACTTTTAAGTCGGCTTTCTGGAGGAGAGATACATGATATAAAAAACTCCATTGTAAAGATCTCTTGGGTACAACAAAACACTAATCTTGATGCAACAGAACTAAACAAACTGCTTTTCTGCAGAGGAGGAAATGTTTCCTGATACAGATTTTTGCTAGGAGAGCTAATAATGAAAAGCTCTAAGTGTGCAGCTACAGAGAGAGACCCTGTCTCAAACAAACAAACAAGCAAACAAAATACAAAGTGCTAGTTTTGCTACTCAATGTCTAGGTTATAAAGGAAATTTTCTTTCTACTGGTTATTCATATTTTACAGTAATGAACTTTTCGATTGATTGATTGATTGAGACAGGGTTTCAACATATTGGCCAGGCTGGTCTTGAACTCCTGACCTCATGATCCACCCGCCTTGGCCTCCCAAAGTGCTGGGATTACAGGCATGTGCCACTGCACCCAGCAGTAATGAACTTTTCAGTTTAAAATGGATAATTCCTCTGTAAAGTGTAAATATGAAAGGCATGCGCAATAGAGAAACTGTTTAAGAACTAATCACTTTGTTGGGGACGGTGGTTCATGCCTGTAATCCCAGCACTTTGGGAGGCTGAGGCAGGTGGATAACTTGAGTCCAGGAGTTCGAGACCAGCCTGGGTAATAAGGGGAAAACTAGCCTCTAGCAAAAAACAAAACAAAACAAACCAGAAATAAAAAAATGCCAGGTGTGGTGGTATGCCCCTGCAGTCCCAGCTACGCAGGAGGCTGAGGTGGAAGGATAGCTTGAGCCTGGGAGGCAGAAGTTGCAGTGAGCCAAGATTGTGCCACTGCACCCTAGCATGGGCGACAGAGCTGGAGAAAAAGAAAAAAGAACTAAGCACTTGAGGTATAGATTCACATTTCTACTCGAATTCTAAAATAGAAAGGAGTGCTTATTTTTGGAGATACATTAAGACCTTGTCAAGCAGTACCCTAGGGGTCTAAAAATAGTAAGGCTTTCCCACCTCACAATGAGCAGTTTATTTTCATCAATAGAATCAAATTTGTGCCATCATGATGTTTATATTTAAAATTCAAAACCATCTGGTGGCCAAGGACACTCATCAATATCTAACTAGTAATTGGGTTTAAACAAACAATTCACAGCTAGGTATGGGAGCTAGAAACACATTGTAGATACATTCGGTTTTGTCTGTTCTTTGGTTTGGTAGTAGGACTATTTTAGGCTTTCCTCTCTAATGTTCCTACTGCGGGCACCCTTTGACACCCTGTGAATTGGTGAATCTGTTGTACTGTTACAGTGTGATTTATGTATGCATTTGGATGTACTACTTAAGAAGTCTATTGATAATTGCACCCGTAGGGGTCTCCAATGCCTCACACCAGTACACACTAATACAAATGCTTGTGGAATGAATGAACAGGTAAGTCTGGCTCTAGAGGTGGCGACATTACATATTCCCAGGCTATAAATACTTCCGAAAGCTACCATTGTCCCAGCCTCAATGGTAAAGCCTACTGCAACTTGCCATCAAGTATTTATTGAACATATACTACATGTTCAGCATTATATTGGAGCCAGAGGCTGGGTGGGAGGGACCAAAATCACGGTGGAGATGCCCGTGACTTCACAACCCAGGCAATCATCCCTTCCCAACCTCTACCCTTTATTCTAACACTGCTGGCTGTGGCTTTCTAGAAACCAATAGGAGCCTGGAACTTCACAGCTCTTCTGCATAATCCTTCCATCTTAAAATATCTCCAAATTTCCAGGAAGTTTGGTTACAGAGAGATATAGAATAAGAGGCAGTGACTGGTAAGGATGCTTTAAGGTAGATGCCTATCCAACTGGATGAAAATACATTTGTCCTGAGTGTAGGTTAATTTTCTGAGCCAGGCATGGTGGCTCATGCCTGTAATCCCAGCACTTTGGGGCGCCAAGGCGGAACCACTGCTTGAGCACAGAAGGATAACTTAAGACCAGCCTAAGCAGCATAGTGAGACCCTTTCCCTATAAAAAGTAAAAAATTAGCTGGGCATGGTGGTGTGCACCTGTGGTCCCAGCTACTTGGGAGGCTTAGGTGGGAGGATCACTTGAGCCTGGGAGGCTGCAGTGAGCCATGATCATGCCACTGCACTCCAGCCTGGGCAACAGAATAAGACCCTGTCTCAGAAATAACAACAACAATATTCTCTACAACAGATAAAAAACAAACTCATAAACTTGAGTGGATCTAGAGACATTAAAAAAATTAAAACATGAGACTATTTCTTCAACCATTTCCCCAATTCCCTAATAAGTTTATATCGCCTATTCCATAACTTACAAGACTTGATCAGTGAGGTTTCCTGTTAATTACATTTTGCGAGTTAACTGATGCTACACGTAACTTTTTTTTTTCCCTTCCAAACGGTGTTGCTAAAATTTATTTTCTTATTTTGGCATAATGAAGAAAGTGTCATCATTTTTGTTTAGTTCAGCAAGAGTTTTTCTTTCTCTCTCTTTCATCTGGACTTTAAATTGACAGGGAGCTACAGAAATGGACACTAAGTTCATCATCCCAGCCTCCAAATTCCCTGACATATCTGATCGTATTTACACAACGATGAGAAGCAGAGCCTCCCAGCCCGTCAGTGAGGAAGAGCTACTTTTCCATTTCCAGAGGCCATGAAGGAAACAAGAATTTGGGAATAAGAGCCGATCAGTGCACTGCTTGATACCCATGAGGACAATTATAATAGAAAATAACTAGTCAGTGTCGGCGAAGACGGAGAGACACTGGAACCCTCATACACGGTGGTTGGGAATGGAAAATGTGGCAGCTGGGAATGGAAAACGGGGCAGCTGCTTTGGAAAACAGCTGACAATTCCTCAAAACACTGAACACAGATTTCCTGTATAACCTAGCCATTACACTCGTAAGTACATAACCAAGAGAAGTGAAAACTTACGTCCACACAGAAACTTGTTCACAAACACTCATAGCAGCATCATTTGTAACAACCAAAAAGTGGAAACAACACAAATGTCCATCCTCTGATGAATGGAGACAGGAAATGTGGCCAATCTATAGAATGGATTATTCAGCAATAAAAAAAAATGAAGCACCAATGAACGCCGCAACATGACCGCATGCACCTTGAAAACACTACACTAAGTGAAAGACACCAGTTGCCAAGGACTACGTATTGCATAATTCCGTGTCTATAAAATGCACTGACAGGCAAATCCATAGAAAGAGAAGGTGAGTGGTGGTCAGCGGCTGGGAAGATGGCGGGTTTGGGCATGATGATTAAGGGATGTGGGTTTATTTTGAGGGTGATGCAAATGTTCTAAAATTGATTGTAGTGATGCGTGCACAACTCTGCGAATATACTAAAAGCCGCTGAATGGTATGCTTTACTATTTTTTATTTTTTGAGACATTCTCACTTCGTTACCCAGGCTGGAGTGCAGTGGTGCCATCTCAGCTCACTGCAAACTCTGCCTCCTGGGTTCACGTGATTTTCCTGCCTCAGCCTCCCAAGTATCTAGGATTACAGGCATGCGCCACCATGTCCAGCTAATTGTTGTATTTTTAGTAAAGACAGGGTTTCACCATGTTGGCCAGGCTGATGTCAAACTCCTGACCTCATGTGATCTACCCGCCTCAGCCTCACAAAGTGTTGGGATTACAGGCACAAGCCACCATGTCCAAACTGAATGGTACACTTTAAACCAGTGAATGGAATTATATGTGAATTATATCAAATGAAACAAAAGTGTTGACAGGTGACACTCCTGTCCCTGGGAGTGACAGGATGATGTTATGGCCAGAGCAGATCAGTAGTCAGCCGTGGCTGCTTAGCCAGGGGTCTGCATCCCACAGGAATCCAGGGACGCTGAAGGGACACACATGACAGAAGGAAATGCCATCATGCCTGTGTGGGAGAGGTGCTGAGCAGGCTTCCACATACTGAAGGAAAATCCATGCCCAAGAGAAGACTCTCCCTGGAAATCCAATGAGGAAAGACTGATTCAGACTCCCAATACTCAAGGCTGATTACCGAGTCACGGAAATTCAGCCCTGCGTATCATGGCCCTTTTATAAAGATTCCTCGGTCTTCAGGAACACAAGTCCCACCTTCCTCTTCCCCAGGGCTTCATGTGAAAGGTTCACAAAGAAAAGGCTCTCAGTGTTGCCACCTCTGAAAGCCCAGACACTTCAGCCTTCGTCTAGAGGGAATCAGTGGCATGTTCAGACCTCAAGTAGAAACGATTACATTCCTTCTCAGCCAAGGAAATGGCAAATACTCAACGAGCACATGCAGCAAATCTCTTCCAATAGTATTCATGGAAACTACAGACAAGACTTAATGGGATAGCCCATGTAATAGAGCCATGGATACACTTTACAAGTGGTCCAGGATGATACCCATAAAACCCATCATTCCTCCCTCTGGACTCACAGCTGGACAGCACTTCCCAGTGGCCTTGTGGCCAGGTGTGGCCACCAACTGAGTTCCAGCCAGCGGGAGGGATGTGTGCCACTTCCTGCTGCTCAGAAACTCTCGTGGGAGGCTTCTCTAAGCCCTTCCTGTCCTTTGTGCTGACTGGATGCAGACATGGGTGAGACCCTCGAGGATGGCAGAGCCACACGATGGCGCAGTCTGGACCCTGGATGACAATGAAGGAGAGCTCCCTCACCATCTGTCAGAAC